ATAGAGAGACGATACGACGAGGCTCCAGTTACAGCAGTGCAAGTAAACAAACAATAAATATAAGAAGAGTAAGAAAATAAATATACACTTTAGGACTCGGAGTAAAGGGATCAATAACAATTTAACATTTATAATTTAGAGTTTGATGATTTAAAGTCTCACACACAACCCGTCAAAAGGGGAGGGGCCCGGCTGCTTCCAAATAGAGCACATTTCATTCATAATGTTGTAAATCCAAGTCCATCATGTATTCATGATTTGAATCCTGGGTTGTGTGAAATCCCAGAAATAAACCCTAGACAAATCGAATCTGTGAACTAAGGTGTAGGTTAGGTTATTAAGTTATGTTGTGGTGATCCTCGGGTTGGGGGATGGGTGTTCATACTGGAGTGCAAAATTAAAACCAAGATGGACAAGAAAAGTTCAAAGCCAGGGGTGGGGTAGGGATGAGGGGGGCGCCAGAGGGAGTGCTCGCCCAGGGCGCCAAACAGGCTAGGACCGCCACTGCACACAGGTCCTCATTACTGGTAAATTAAAATCTCCTTGAAAGCACCAAACCACCTACCCACAGCTGCACTAGTAGTTTTACAATCTAAAACAATAAGTATTGTCTCAGCAAGCCGTTCTTGAGTTTTATGTGAAAGTTGCCCTTCATCAATCTGAATCACAATGGCTTTTCATTAATCTTAAGATTCATGACTGAGGTGCATGTTTCTTATCTTGTGATTATTGCAGTTAATCAGTGTTACAAGCAGCAGAATGATTTTACTACTTCTTACCGAGCATGCTGGGCTCTCCTTCCAGCAGCGACAGTATATATTTGTTCAGAAACAAGGTGCAGAAGCTGAAGAAGTACCAGAGACCCAAATAGGTCATGGAGCGCCAGTTGGACACCCCGGACTCTGCCTCGATCACCGTAGTCTCCGTTACCGTGATCTTCAGCACCTGCTCCCCCGGGAGGCTCTCACTGCGGGTCAGCACCACTCGCTCCTGGCGGCTACGTAACGGCGACAAGAGGCACCAGAGTGGCTGCTTGCTGCCCGGCATTATTCCTGCTGCCAGAGGGCCCCCCGCGGGCCCCACCAAAAGGGGGACTCTTAATGTGGCTCAGTTTTTTAGGGTTTGTTTGCTTGTTTGTTTTTTGGTTCTTAGTCCATCCTCTGAAAGGTCCAGCAAACTACCTCTCAGTCTTGCTGTGACTATTGGAAATCACTTCCTGTTTTGGTGTTTCCTTACTAGTCCTCTGCTGCAGATACTGGGGGACAAAAAGGAAAGATCACAGGGAAGGGAAAACATCTTTAAATAAATCACCCTGCCCTACTTTAAAAACCAAACAAAGCACATTTATCCCACACTGCTCCAATAGTTTACATAGAAACACAAGTGCACAGTGAAATTACTTCATAAACTGTTCAACACGGTAAGCTGTGTCACGTTACATAAAGCCCATTCACTGCATATAACGCGTATCTACTGTATCCTCCGTTGACGAAAACATGAACATAATCAGCTTGTTATGTTATTAATTTTTGCACGACTAACCTTCAGCGCTAAAGTCCTGCAATTGAAAGGAGCAGCTGTACATGTGGCTAGGACTAGGACTGCGGACAGACGGTGAATAAAACCAGATCAAAGTTCACTTAAACCGATGATAACACTGAGTTACAGCGAGGCTTCAAGGACCGCCAACGACACACAAACAAGGTTGACACGTACAAGGTTGGGGGGGCTACTAGCTTCTTCCCGCAGAAACTCGCAGTGACGAGATAAAACTACTCAAAAATATCACGTCACGAGGAAGACCCAGCTCTTACCTCTCTCTGTAACCTGACTGCCTAGGCTTGTACAGACAAATACTGAGAAGACAGCGGTTCAGCGAGGCAACGGACTTATCACAGGAGGAAGTTGAGGTTAGCTAGCAGCCGTTGCTGGTTGTTGCTGCTGCACTGAATATAACAAGGCGGCGTCACCCACAGAGGACACCGCGCTCTCATCCACACCGGACAACACCCACATCGCAACACCCTTCCCGCTGTTACAGAGAATTTACCTTTGTTTCTAGGTTACGTACAGCTGTGCACCTGGCTTCGAAACATGGTTGCGAACAATGCGCATGCGTCAAGTTACATCGAAATAGCCACAGATCGGAAGTTTCAAAATAAAATCTGCAGCGGCGAACGCAGCGGTCTTTCAGAAGGTCATGAGTTCAAGTTTGTCTCATTATAAATATCTCTCTAAACGTCTTTTTCAAACCTATTTATAGTCTTTAAGAAATCCTGGGTTTTTCTGGAGAAAAATTAATTAATTAATTAAATCGTGCATTTAATTTCATACTGCCATTAGCGTGTTTCCGGTGGGGCTCACGTCAAACTTGACACTTATCAAAAAATTATACATTCTCTAAGCTTTCCGTCGGCACAAGAGAAATGACTTCTGCAACAGCACACGTGGTGAAGTTTGTAAAATGTTGAGAACAACATATTTTTTAATTTTCTGATTTCATTGGTGACGATTAATACAGACGTATTAATAACCAAATAAACAATAAACAAATAATGCCTAGCACTGTTACCAAGATGGCTCAGGATGGACAATAAAGACAGAGAAATCGGCATATTTAGAAATAAACAGTGTGTAGGAAACAAATGTGTGGTGTCAACATAAAGAAATTTCCATATAAAGAGGTAAAATATCAAGTCACATTTGACCCCTGACCTCTCATTCAAGCTCAAATAAGGTCAAACTTTCATAAAATGCCTTTTATCTTTAAAACTGTACTTGAAATTCTGCTGCCTTTGATTTTAATGACAACATTATATTTGGCATCCAAATATCATGTTACATTTGACCGCTCACTTTTATATTACACATCTGCCTTTCTTTCAAGTTCAACCCAAAGTGTGTTGTACCTTTGAAGGAATTATTACAAAGAAAAAGAATGAGCTCCCCAGTTAGTTAAAAATATACTGTAGTATAACATTACACAATAAGATATTTATTTCCATTTATTTACAAATCAATATCTATAGCCCATTACCTACTCCTCCATAATGTCTGTAATTAAAGTAAACATCTGACATGCTACTATAAAGTAAATACTGCACAGAGAGTGAGCTCCATTAGCGGATGCTTGTGCTCTCAAAGTGCTTTTTGTCATGAATTGATTCTTATATATGGTGTTTACAGCTTTAATATCAGACCTGGAGATGACTTCAACTACTTATTTAATGGATATCAGCATATCACATAAGTAGATTTATATTTTAACACACGTGGCTGTGGTAAGATCAGTAGTACTCTAGCCCAGTGGCATGTGTAGTTTTCATAGTTTTTGTGGTTTTGGTGGTTTTTAGCTTAGAACTGAATGAGCTGATGGGTTGGAGCTGACAAACAGGATATGGTAACCAACATGAAACCGTGAACCCCACCTTGTTCATTCAAACAGTCCAAGTTGTTGGTGATGTAAAAGTGAGGGAAATCTTTTCTTGCACACACTAGGCCACTCCAGTGAATCGTGAGTTAGAGGTCGTAGTCTCTTGCTGGATGTGCTTACCAGTTCATCATTACTTTAAGAACTGATGATCAGTCAGTCCAGAAAATTACTAAAACTTTGAATGCGTCCCCAAGTGCAGTCACAAAAACCATCAAGCTCTACAATGAAACTGGCTCACATGAGGACCACCCCAGGAAAGGAAGACCAAGAGTCACCTCCGCTGCTGAGGATAAATTCATCTGAGTCACCAGCCTTAGAAAAATCGCATGTTAACAGCACCTCAGATTTAGAGCCCAGATAAATGCCACACAGAGTCAGAGTAGAGACACATCTCTACATCCACTGTTCAGAGGAGACTGCACGAATCAGGCCTTTATGGTCAAATAGCTGCTAAGAAACCACTACTAAGTCCCTTTCATGCTCCTGCACTAATTGAAGGGTGTTGCTCCCAAAGTGCAAGGCAATATGTCTGTGAAGGTTCTCAGACATTCAGGTCATTGTAGTCTAAGGAGCTTGGAAAGAAAAGTGTCTGGACTTCTTTAAGTTCTTTGAAGACGTTTCACCTCTCATCTTCAGTTCTAAGAGCAATTGATGGAGAGTCCAAGATTTTTAAATCCTATTGGTAGTGTCTCTAAAAAGGTCATGGACCCCTGATTGATCCTATGCCTAATCACATGAGCGAAGGTGTGAAAATGGGTGTGGGTCACAATCAGCCAAGGTTTTGGGTGAAACCTAGCCCCACCCTATGATGTTATTTACTTAGGTCAAATGGCCCAGGTTGTGAGTGGGTGTTAAGGCATCTGGCAAGGGATCTCAAATCTGGATTATAGATGGCAGACAGTTGGTGTCGTAAGCCACCCCCTCTGTTCAAAGATGGTCACTCACAATGGCCATTCACATCTGTGTTCTCTGTCCAAAATGGGAACATTGGTATCTTGACTGGGCAAGACTTAGACTAAGTCTTAGAAAACCACTTCTAATGAAAAGCAACAAGCAGAAGGGACCGACATCTGGGGAGACACACTCGACCCGCCAGCCACTGGTATTTACCCAATGGTAGCAGTGGCAAACCCCAGATTTGGCCTAATAATAGGGCCAGAAGGACAAGAAGAGCAAGATGAGTGCCCAACCATACATATTTTCCGTCCGTGGTCACAAATAGACAGACGAAATGTCCTGAAAGACGTTCCTCCACTGAATGAAGGTTTTATACCATGGAGGGACGCTGTAGAAATGATCAGAAGGCAATGGTATTTAAATGGTCATGAAATGCTTCAAGTAGTGCAAGATTTATTAGGATTAAAAATAGGAACAGTTAGAGGAGATTATACCGGCTCAAACGCCGGGGGAGCAGCATACGCACCAGGAAGCAAAGACCTAAACAATGCCCTAGCAAATTTATATGAGAGAATTAGAGTACGGTTGGCCACAAGGGCTGACTATGGAAAAATAGGAGAGGTGAAACAAAAAGAAGCCGAAACAGCTTCTGATTTTCTGGACCGTCTGCGTCCAGTTTTTAGACAGCACTCAGGATTTTGATGCCTTCAATAAGAATCTGCAATGTAAATAGTCATGAAAATAAAGAAAAAGCATTTAATGAGAAGATGTGTCCAAGCTTTTGACTGGCAGAGTATATAAATTATTAAAATATATATTTAATTCATAAAATGTGAAAATGTGAATATCAATCTGTGCAAACCTCTTTGTGTCCACGAGGGGGCAGCAGCACTTTCGCGCTGCAACAAATGAAGCAGTAGAAGAAGAATTTGCCCAGGCTACTGTTCCCGTTGTTTACATTGCAAAATGTGAAACTGAAGTTGTGTGGGCTGGAGGTGGAGACGAACTGAAAAGGTTTCGGGAATGTAAGCTGCTGCGCTGTAGTCCGCCAGGAAATGGACGAGATAAGGTGAGCAGCTTAATTCGTACATTTAACTGTAAAAGTTACTTTTTCTTTCTCTCTCTGTTAGTCACCGAGCTTTTGCGTCGTGATAAAATGTAACCAGACAGCTGGTAGATGTACACCTTATTATCTCGCTATAACCGGACACACCCGTTAACATCAATAAACGGGTTATTTATTGTTATTTATAACTGCGAGCCTTCATCTGACAAGCTTTATACGGAGCCTGAGCTAATGTAGAGGATTTATGGTTCAACAAGTCTTCTGTATGTGGAGGACTGAACCTGAGGTTACGGACGACTGTAACCTCTGTAGAAATATGAATAAAGTCATATTTATGCAAGCCAAATAAAACAAAGATAAACGACCAGAGGAACAAAACAGGAAAGACACATTAATGCTTAAAACGTATTTTGCACTCAGTCTTTTTAGTTGCCCCAACTAAGGGGCACGATTCATGTTCAGTGTGAAGGTAAATTACTAGTTTTGCAATCCTCAACTGTAGAAATTATTGGTAAGTCACGAGGTTATGATCAACTGTCTACAGGATGGTGTTTCTAGATTTGGCAGTTTCCCAACCTAACGGAGTAATTTCACCTGGCTGGGAAATATCTGTCTTTGTATTAACTGTTTAAGCATCTATATAAGCAGTAACAATAAGGACTTCTGCATTTTTATCTGTATATTTTTAATTGGGACAATGTAAGTACATGTACTTAAATATAAAATATTTCTTCAGCACCTTTCAAGATAAAACCAAATACAAATCTAAAAAAAAAATTCGCTGCATTTTGAAAGCGACCCTTGAGTTTACAGATCTGAAGCTCAGAGGGAGAGACTTCCAGAGTCTGGGGGCCACTGCTGCAAAAGCTCTGCCTCGTATAGTTTTCAGCCTGGTATGATGCACAACCAGTTGGCCCTGATGACATGACCTCAAGGCCCTGCTGGGGATGCAGGAATGTAAACTGAAATGTAAAAGGAGAAAAGCTAGTCAGATGTATTAAAGAGAAACAAGATAAAACCACCTCAGTGCTGGCAATTCCGGTTTTTAACTGATATTTAAAAATATCCTATGTATTCTGTGTAGTTTGGTTTCTATTTACCCTAATAGTATGGTAATGACTAAAAGGTGGAGGATCCAAATTATGTGAAAATTTATAAATAAGACAAATATTCATGTGTTAAACAAGATTTTCAAAGCCAAGTAA